AATTGGAAAATAGTTACACATCTTCTACATAAATAGGAAAATTTATAATATTCATATCCATACTTTTTTCAATTCTAAAATATAATCCACATTATTTTTAAATTTAAATTATTAAATTTTAAAACGTAACACAATATATTTATAAATTTTTAACACATAATTTATCTTTTTAAACACATTCTATCCTAAATGCATACACAATATATTTATAAAATTTAAACATATTCTATTAATTCTAAAAACTACTTTTTTAAAACTCTTGTAATTGTTTAAAAATATCACAACGTAACATAATATATTTCCAAAATAAAAACACATCAATTATATATGTAAAATTAAAAAATTAAAAAAATTATTATAAATTTAAATTTATATACTTACTTGTAACTCTCTTACAACACCAACAAAATTATAATTACTTATAACCTACAAAATAATACAAAAAAATACAATAATTATTCAAAAGAAAATTAAATCAATAAATTATATCAACAAATATAAATAACCTTACTTACTATAACAAGAATCAAAAATTTAGTGAATAGGTAATGAATGAGATCTTTAGTGAGAACTAGAGCTGTCAAAACGGGTAACCCGGCCCGGCCCACCACGGGTTGAGCCTTTGGTGGGCCAACCCAACCCGGCTCGTTTATTGGTGAGCTGGAAAAAATTGAGCCCGGCCCGGCCCACCACTGGTTGGTGGGCTAAACGGGTTGGCTCACCTAATTTGAAAAAATAACCTAATTTAAAAAAATATAATCAAATTTAATGCCTAATCCTGCAAAAATAGTATGCACATAAGCTTTTCTAGAGAAAAGTAAATAAATTCCTACACTAATTACATAATTTGAAGAAAAAATACATAAAATTGAGAACCTATGATGGTCTATGAAGTTTTATTTGGCCCAACCCAATAGCAGAAGTTTTTTTTAATATTTTTTATGGGCTGGTGGGTCAGCCCGGCTCACCACGGGTTGAACCCGGGTGAGCCGGGTTGTTAGTGGGCCGGGTTTAAAATTGGCCCACACTGAAATTTGCAAAAAATTGGTCCACACTGAAATTTGCAAATTTTTTTTAGCCCAACCCGGCTCGAACCCGTGGTGGGCCAGGTTGGCTCACCGGGCTGAGCCCATTTTGACAGCTCTAGTGAGAACCAAATGAACCAAATGTTTAGTGAGAAGGAAATGAAACAAATGTTTACTGAGTAGGAGAAGAGTGAAAAATTTAAAGAAAGATTCAAAATTTATAGAAATTGAATGCATGAGTGAATGAACAAGAGAGGTAAACAGAGAGACGTTCTCTAGCAAAATTATTTGGTCAAAGGCTGAAAATTTTTTCAGTCAAAAGCTGACACGCTGACAATTTTTTCAGTCAAAACAGATGGCGCCTCCACCCTATGCGCCATCTTCACAAGGATGGTGCCTCCACCGCATGCACCATCTGCACCAACTCAAGCAAGAAGGATGGCGCCTCCACCCCCATGCACCTCCCTCAGAATGTGACTTCTGATGACATTGATCAGATGGAGCATCTCCATGCGTCATCTGAACAATGTTTTGTCTTATAATGAAACTCCTAATTCTCCTGCGCTTTGTTCATAAATTACCACATGACTAAAATCACCTAAAGTGATAATTTAAATCTTTTTTTTAATTTATTAGATAACTTTTTAAAATTTTTAATTTAATTATGTCAAAAAGCTGATTATTTCGAATGTTTTGTTTCGGAGGATATAACAATCTCTCTTATATCTAATCTAACATAAGAGTGTTATATCCTCTTAAAAGGATCCGAAACAACGTTCAAAAATTTAAAATATTAATATTTTATTATAATTTTACAATTAAATAATTATTTAATTTTATATTTTATAATTTAAATTAATTTTTTAAAGATTCAGAACATATTTCGGAATAAGTTTTCGGAGTTTTTAGAATTTTTCTATCTAACATCCTCTTATGTCTAATCTAGCAATCATCCCACGTCAAGTTGATAGCTCTTTGTCTCTTTCTGCCTAATGTACTTATTTGTGCGTGGGACTGGGACTTGCTATTACTTCATTTTTATTGGAGATTGGATTGTTCAGCATTGCATTGAATGACTCTGCTTCGTTTTGTTTTTGTCTCATCTTGTGATGATATGAATATGGTCTGTTTCTGCTCAAATTGCTGTTCTATTTTTGGAATTGATGACCAAACATGATTCAGGGTACGGATGTTCAAAGGGAAGCCGCAAACATTTAAGGATGTAAAACAAAGCCAATTAATATAGATGAACGTAAATTTACATTAGTTCTGGAAAATAAATGATATTTTTAACAAAGAAAAAATATAAATGATCCTTTTGAATATATTTTTCTCATGAAAATATCATGTTACATATTAGAGATTTTTTGTATTAAAAATGAATTTTTTAAAGTTTTTATTAACATTCAATTCCATAAATAAAATTATGAGTTAATAATTAATCATTAAATATTTAATTTAAAGATCTACGTGTTAGTGACTTCCTATGTAAAAATTAAAAGAGAGAAATAGAATTTTAATTATTTAAAAAAATAATAGAGAAACGATAGAAGAGAGATTTTAGTTATTATTATTATTATTATTATTATTATTATTATTATTATATACATAAACACCTCTCATCTTTCGGAGTTTGCACAATGGCTCCATTCTTAACCAAGAGAATTTCATTCAACACACTTCTCATTTTAAAAGAAAAATTTTATCAGAGGAAGAGCATCCATGCATACAGTTAGTCTTTACACAAACAATTTATTAGTCTTGTGGGTTATACAGTTACACTATTACTGGATTACATAGTTACATTTATTACCCTTTCACTGCATGATGTATATAACAAATTTACAGTTAGTGGAAGTACAGCAATTAATAAGTTCCTTTCACTAAATTTTCATCGTGTTAAGTTTAAAGTGGTATAAATCCACCTTAAAATGCTCATGCTTTCCTCTTTCTCTCACTTACCAAACTCACATCAATTTTTAGTTTCTTTCTCACGTATCCTTAGTTTACTCTCTCTTTTTTTTTTTTTTTTTTCCCTCTAAAGATTCAGAACATATTTCGGAATAAGTTTTCGGAGTTTTTAGAATTTTTCTATCTAACATCCTCTTATGTCTAATCTAGCAATCATCCCACGTCAAGTTGATAGCTCTTTGTCTCTTTCTGCCTAATGTACTTATTTGTGCGTGGGACTGGGACTTGCTATTACTTCATTTTTATTGGAGATTGGATTGTTCAGCATTGCATTGAATGACTCTGCTTCGTTTTGTTTTTGTCTCATCTTGTGATGATATGAATATGGTCTGTTTCTGCTCAAATTGCTGTTCTATTTTTGGAATTGATGACCAAACATGATTCAGGGTACGGATGTTCAAAGGGAAGCCGCAAACATTTAAGGATGTAAAACAAAGCCAATTAATATAGATGAACGTAAATTTACATTAGTTCTGGAAAATAAATGATATTTTTAACAAAGAAAAAATATAAATGATCCTTTTGAATATATTTTTCTCATGAAAATATCATGTTACATATTAGAGATTTTTTGTATTAAAAATGAATTTTTTAAAGTTTTTATTAACATTCAATTCCATAAATAAAATTATGAGTTAATAATTAATCATTAAATATTTAATTTAAAGATCTACGTGTTAGTGACTTCCTATGTAAAAATTAAAAGAGAGAAATAGAATTTTAATTATTTAAAAAAATAATAGAGAAACGATAGAAGAGAGATTTTAGTTATTATTATTATTATTATTATTATTATTATTATTATTATATACATAAACACCTCTCATCTTTCGGAGTTTGCACAATGGCTCCATTCTTAACCAAGAGAATTTCATTCAACACACTTCTCATTTTAAAAGAAAAATTTTATCAGAGGAAGAGCATCCATGCATACAGTTAGTCTTTACACAAACAATTTATTAGTCTTGTGGGTTATACAGTTACACTATTACTGGATTACATAGTTACATTTATTACCCTTTCACTGCATGATGTATATAACAAATTTACAGTTAGTGGAAGTACAGCAATTAATAAGTTCCTTTCACTAAATTTTCATCGTGTTAAGTTTAAAGTGGTATAAATCCACCTTAAAATGCTCATGCTTTCCTCTTTCTCTCACTTACCAAACTCACATCAATTTTTAGTTTCTTTCTCACGTATCCTTAGTTTACTCTCTCTTTTTTTTTTTTTTTTTTCCCTCTGTCTTTCCAAACACACCCTTTATCACTTCTAAATATTAAGATGTATTATATAAATTGTATGCATTATATTTGTAAAAAGTCCTCATTTTTTAACACTAGCATGCTATAATCACTCTATCACCACTTTTTATTTTTCTTATCACTTTTCTCTTAACAAATTATATGACTAATCATATCATTATTAATTTTCGACTTAGAAATACAGTATAGACTATATTCATAAACAAATAAAAATCTTATCAACTAGTTGATGTTTTTTTCTCTTCTTTCTCTTTCTCAAGTATCTACAACAAGGAGTAACACGTATACTATTATTAATCACACACCATATACATTATACGATTTTCTTTCTTTCATATAGATCACCAGTGATGAGTTGAGTACGACTGTTACGAAACATAACATGATATTCTTAATTAGATAAGCGAATCAACAATGAGTTGTAATTCATCCAAGCTCACAGCGCCATCTCCATCCGCATCAAGAGAAGCAACAAGATGCTCACAATTCTGCAGAGACAACTCAAGCCCCAAGTTCTGCATCACCTCGTGAAGCTCTTTCCCCGTCAGAATCTCGTTCCCGTCTTCATCCAACGCCTCAAACGCCGCGCTGAGGGTGTTCGCGAGATCTCCACCCTCCAAATCCTTGGTGTTCATCTCCAAGAACTCGTGTATGCTTAACAACCCATCTTTGTTCTTGTCACCTCGTTCCATCATCGCCCTCACTTCTTGCTCGCTAGCGTTGTACCCTAGCGACCCCAAGATTCCGCCGAGCTCTGCATGCGTTATACGACCGTCGTTGTCCACGTCGAACGCTCGGAACGCCTCCACTAGCGAGAGAACGTGGTTCAGTGTCTCCATTTCGGAGGAGAGAGAACCCACTTGAGACATGTTCAAGAATATTGGAGAGTGGTGTGTGATGCTTTCTGATATTTGTCTATTGCTAGGGTTTCTTACTTTCTTATTCCGCAACTATAAATAGTTCGAAACAGGATTATGGGTTAATGTGTGATGCTGAAGATTACGGGAATGGAATCTTATAATAATAATTATGCTTGTAAAGTTTATTCGTTCTTATCCTCATCCTTTTCTTTTGGGAATAAAGTTAGGAGAGTTCTATTCGACAAAAAAGAATTTGTTGTGTGAGATTCAATGCGTGTTTAAATACTAATTTTGATAGTTTTTAAAATGTAACTAGATAAGGTTGTTTAGATAGTTTGAAGTTTGAGGAGGGTGGTGCAAGATTCTGAGTAGACTGTGGAATTGAGACAGAATACAGATGTTGAATAAAAGATGAGAAAATATCTCTCAATTGTTCTTACAATTATACTATTTAAAACTCTTATTTGAAAATAATTTTTAAAATTTATTAAATTTGGGGTGAATCGGTAAGTGGTGTGAAATTATTTCATATATAAAGTTTTTAAAGTAAAAAAACTGAAAGGTAAATCAAATAAGTCCCAAGTTATTAGACCACAAAAAAACCCTAATTTATTCTGATTTAAAATTATTGTTTACATTTTTTATATACAATATTTCCTCGTAATAGGATCGTGAATCCATTAGTCCAAATAATAATCTCAAACAAATATTGTGATTGACGCTAATTTAAAAGATTTTTACACATATTAAGAATAACCACATAATTTTTCAGTTAAATAGGTAATTTTCACAATATGTTACACACCATTCAGATTTTATATATATTTTCTCAATACACGTAATCTCAAAAAAAAAAAAAAAATCTCCACAAAAGAGATAAAAAGCTCCAAGCGCATAAAGTTTGTTCCTTGTATAGTAGGTGCTTCCAAAGTTCCAAAACTACGCAAGTAGAGGCTCTTTTATTCTTTGTGAGATTAAGACCCATCCACCATCGTTTTCGAAACAGTGACCCGATGCCATGATAGATCCCAAATATCATGTATATCATCCGGACGTAAAATTTTTGTATGACATAGTTATTGAATGAACTTTCATAACTATACTTAAAGCAAACATGAATAAAGTGGAATATTATATCACAAGGATGTAGTACAATTTTGTCTAGCTACCATTAATAAAAATTAAATAATTGAAATATTTTCCTACAATTGAAGGAAATTCGGAATTGCTCCATCGATTTTTTTCTTCTTATGGTCGATGGAATAGTTGGGAAGGTTGAAATAAAACTCTTTTGGATTATTGTTATTATTTTGGTTAAGAATCTCTTTAATATTAAACCCATATTTCCTCTTATATTCCGTGTTGAGCCCATCTTCTAGTTTCGTTCAAAGAAAATGAGGCCCATCTGCAAGTTCAGGTCATAGAATGCACTAGAAACCCAAATATCATTCGGCCTGTATTTAATTTGGATTTGTGCATCTTAGGCAACTGCAATCCACATGTCTCAAGATCCAATTTGCAATCGGTTTGGATTTGATGAATTTTTAATGAAAAATTCTACGACCTCCGAAAACGTATTCTGAAACACATCCCGGATCTTTAAAAAATTAATTTAAATTATAAAATATTAAATTAAATAATTATTTAATAATAAAATTATTAAAAATATTATTATTTTAAACTTTCGACAATTGTTTCGTATAGTTTTCGGAGGATATAGCACTCCTCATTTTTAATATAAGATCCGAAACAATTTGTATTGGATCAAATCGGACGATAAACACCTTTCTTTCCAAGCCGTGGGAGGCTTAGATAAATAAGGTCGTTGTTTAAGGGCTTATCTCATCATATAAGGCTCCTAAAAGATGTTTGTATCATTAATAAATGTATTTATTATTGAAATTAATAAACAAAATATTAATATAAGAAACATCTAACAAAATATAAGATAAAAATACTTGTAGTGGGAAAATAATTTATCTATAACAAAAGGTGTTGATTCTACTTGTTTGAGAATACACTAATAAATTTATGATATTTAACTCTGAATTTCTTGTTTAACCAATAAGTTCAAGGGGTGAGGCATCTGAAAAAAGACATTTTAACCCTCAAGTTAGGAAAAACTCAAATATTTAATGCTCAGTAGTTTTACCCTAATTTTTGTAACTAATTATATTGATTATAATGGGTTTGAATTTGTTGGTCTTTTGGTTTTTGATTACCAATTAGGTGAAATGGTTATTGATGATAAGTTAGGATCTCTTAATCTTGTTTATTCTCCTTATTAGCTAAGTAACTATAAGTACTTCAAATTATGGTTGAGTTGGTCATCTTAGTCTACTTGATAGTCGACATTGTTAAGATTGTCCTTCATAAGTTAAATCTTGCCTAAGAATACATTGATCCCTTTGAGTGTCTCAATCACCAAGATGATTGAGACCGAAATGACGATACGTTATGCTATCTTGTATCAAAGTGTTGTTGTCGGTTATTTCAAGATGACAATATTAACTTAAAACTGACAATTAAAATAAGTCCTTTAAAAGATAAAAATTTAAAATGAACTTTGACGTGAAAATAAAATATAAAAAATATATAATTAAATTTAATTGAAGATATATTCAACTAAATATAACTGGTACACCCCAAAAATTTGTACTTGTGAAGAAAAGATAGTCGTTAGAAGGGGGTTAAATGGTAAATATCAAAAACTTGCACTTTTCTAAAGAGATTGAAGTAGTATCTACAACAGACGAAATGCTGGAAGAATAATCAAAAGAATAGATGGAACACTAAATATTTTTATATTGATTCGTTTCAAACACAGAGACTATGTCTAGTTCTCAATCCAATCAGATTGAGTTCCATTAATTTTCTCAAAGTTGCAAGTATTCTTTTCCAAGCCACTTATGGCTCTACAACAAGTGTTCTTTGACTGACCTCTTCAAGCCACTACTCAGGTATTACATGGTTGTTACGATCGTCTTTTTAAGACGTGAATACAACAACATTTTGATAAAAAAATATTTTTCTACAAAAAAAAAGCTATAAAGAATAGATGAATTTTTTTGAATGTTCTTGTATTTTGCTGATAAGCTTCAGTTTGTTTTGATCTTCAAAACTTCTTATATAATAACTTTGGAGAAGATGACCGTTACAACACTTTAAGTTCAGCTCACAAGTTTGTTTCGTTTGTTTTCATTGTCTTCTTTGTGGTGGCAGATAACCGTTTGACTCATTTAATGCGAGCATTAAATACATTTCACCAAATAGTATCTCTTATTTGATTAAGGAGATTACTTATTAACTTTTCTTACCAAGTAGGGTTTGTAGAAGAAATGTCAAGGCAAAGCAGCAATTGCAATAACTTTATCTACTTTTCTCTATGATTTCAAGGATTTGATTTTGACAAAAAGCATGATTCTTCTATTCAACAGATTTGTGAGTTTTGAAATGGACTTTTGATTCAATCTATTAAGGAATGAAGCATTCAAAGAAAACTTTATCAATAATCTCAATAAATGGTAAATATTTAATGTATATGAGACAAATTGTATGCTTCGCCTGATTAACAATCGTTTGACAGTCGATCTCCATCTTATATACAATCTGCGTTTTATACTTCATCTGATAAGTCTTTCAAAGATATGTTTCAAAGACATTTTTGTAGACTTTTCTATATAAAAACATTAGTTTGTTAGCATTAAAACTTTGAATAGGGGATTTTAACAGTACTGGGTAAACATTTACCTCTATTTAAGATATTAAATTACAAACCAAAAGGAAAATACAAGAAAATCTCATGACAATAAACCCATCTAGAGATGACAATTAAACTCGCATCCGTAGATAATACTCGAATCCACTCCAACTTTAAGGGGAATACTTGGTTTGAATGGATATGGGTACCAATTACTTGCCCCGTACCCATATTCACTTTAAATTTTTTAAAATTTACTTGACATTTATATAATTCTTACTCTATTTTAAATTTATGTTAAATAAAACTTAATTAATATAATTTTGTAATTGTTATAGTATGTTGAAATTCTTTTTTTTTTTTAATATTTATTTTTTAAAAAATATTTAATTAAATTTAGGACAGCTACAAAAATGGGGATACAAATTTCATATTCGTCAAGTATAGAAATAGGGATGGGTATAAGGTACAGAAATATGGACAGGAACAAAGATAATGAAACTCATACCCATCTAGTCCCGTTGCCATCCTTGTCCCCATCTCATGTGATCATGATCTCAAACTCCAACATGCAAGTAATTAAGGCAAGTTTGGGAAAATTTATTTTCCCACATTTCGACCATTTTTTTTTTAATAATATAGGTTTAAATATAATTTGTGTCCATATAATTTATTGTTTTTTCACTTTTGGTCCTTGTAAGTTTTTTTTGTTATTATTTCATCCCTAACCTTTTATAACGCTTCAAGAATAGTCTTCATTATAAAAAAAAATTTACATAACAAACGAAATACATATTATATTTATTATATTCCACTTGACCATTACCATGTACATAAATTGATTTAAAATTTTTGTAGACAAAATTTTAAAATGCACGTTATCACACCCAAACCCCCTCTCTCACTCTTGTGATTACACTTCCCCTCTTGATCCTAATCCAACATTGTAAACCTTAAACACTCAATCCAAACTCCAATCTCTCGATGAGGAACAACTTTTCACAGTCCACAATCTCAATAATGGTGTCGAGTTCATGCTCAATAACCATCATCTATGTGAAGTTGTCATCAGCTGTCACCTCATCATGGAAGAGTTCAACGTCATGCTCAGTTACTCCCCTCTCATGTGTCGCAAGAGCATCAACCACTTCATTGGTGTCATTGCCAATGTCACCTCCTCCTAGGTCAAGAAGAATTGTGTCGATTGGCTCAAAACCATATTAAGATTGTTTCCACCTGTCGTGGTAATCGTAGCAGCAATGAGCAAGACACCTTATTGGAGAAGGGAGGCTAGTGGTCCAGGTAGTGACGGATCCAGAAATTTTAGATAGTGGGGGCAATATTTATTTATATATTTGTAATATTAAATTTTTTACATATATAACTTTTAAAAGCATAAATATATTATCATAATTATTTTTTACAATTTTTTATATTTACGATTACAAGTAAATATGAAAATAAATTAGGTTAGACTAAATTTTATTATAACTTAATAGGTTTGAATCTAACACTTTTAAAAAATATATATCTTAAGTATGACTTATTTATCTATCATAGACATTTTTTAAATTTTTGGTTAGAACTACAACTCTAAAGACCTACTTTATAATAATTCAACACTATTAAAAATATAAAATACATATGTTAAATTTTATAAAAATCAAGTTTAATTTATTTATGATATAAACATGTTTTTAATATCTAATACGTATTTTTAGATGATAATTTATTTTATATTTTATAATAACAATTCTAAATGGAACATAAATCTTTCGATTTTTTTTATTTTGATTTTTTAATCAATATATACAATAAATAGAAAACACAAAAGGTAAACATGCATACCGCAAATTTTATTTTATTAAAATTTGATTTTTTAATATATTACATTATATATGTGAGTATTAATATATATATATATATATATATATATATATATAATATAACTATGAGGTTGACTTTGTGATTACCC